TTTTCTCTCTCTGTCCCGAAGACTGGGATGAAAAAGAGAGAATGGAGAGGCAGCGATACGTGCGCTAATTCGCTCTTTCGCGAAAGACCGGGAAACTGGTGCAGGAGAGGCGGGGTTGGAGGGGGGGGGGACGCGGCGACTCGTTGAGGGCGACCGCTCCTGGTGGCTCTCTCGCTGCGAGTGAGGGGCGGCTGAGCTCGTCGCGCCTTATATACCCCACGGCCATCATCGATCCTACCCCCCCACACCTTGCTCTCTCTTCTCTCTCTCTCTCTCTCTCTCTCTCTCTCTCTCTCTCTCTCTCTCTCTCTCTCTCTCTCTCTCTCTCTCTCTCTCTCTCTCTCTCTGTCTGGCTGGCTCGCTTTCGCGCGTTCTCTCCCTCTCTTCGCTGCTCTCTCTCTCTCTCTCTCTCTCTCTCTCTCTCTCTCTCTCTCTCTCTCTCTCTCTCTCTCTCTCTCTCTCTCTCTCTCTCTCTCTCTCTCTCTCTCTCACGCACAACACACACGCACACGCACACACCATGACATTCCCTTCTCCTGTCCACTCTTCTCGCGACCTCATAGCCCGCCCTCATTCACATCCCTCACTCATCACTCACTCCCTGACCTAGCGAGAGCCCTCATATCAGTGCCTCATTCGCTCCCGGTGTATCTGTTCGCTATGACTTGCAATTTTTTCTTGGAGGTTCTGTGGGGAGGGGGGACGGTGGGGGGGGGGGGGGCAGGTGGCTCTTCCCCCTTTATATCACCTTCAAAGGTCTTCGTTTGTCTTTCTCTCCTTTTCTTTATCGTTCCCTGTCTTCTCGTCCTTGTTCTCTTTCTCATTCTGGCTGTTACATCATCTTATCGTCCTTTCTTCCTCTTCCTCCTCTCCCTTTTCTCCTTTTCCTCTCCCTCTCCCTCTCCCCTCCCTCTCATCAGCTCACCTATTAACTCCCTCTCCCTCTCTGATACTTCCTCTACCTTCCCTCTCCCCCTCTCTCCCTCACCCCTTTCCCCTTTCCCTTCCTCTCTCTCCTCTCTTTCCAGCCAGCCTCCACCCACACTCAAGCCTCCCCCCCACCCCTTCCCCCCTCTCTCCCCTCTCTTTCCTCCAGCCCTCGCCCCAACCCTCCCTCTCCCGTCCCTTCCTTCTCTCCCCTCTCTTTCCTCCTCCTACTCCATCCCCCACCCAACCCCACCTTCCAAACCTCTCCCCGTCTTCCCCCCTCCCTCTCTCTCTCTCCCCCCTCTTCCCACCCCTCACTCACCTCTCTCCCATGGCGTGTTGGACGGGGACGGAGGCGTCCGAGAGAGAGAGGCATAGAGAGGAGAGAGAGATCGAGAACTTGGAGAGAGAGAGAGACAGAGAAGAGAGAGCAGAGAGAAGAGATGAGATGAGAGAAGAGAGACGGCAGAGAGAGAGACGAGAGAATGAGAGGGGGGGGAGGGAGAGGGGGAATGAGAGAGAGCAGGTGGGGAGGAGGTGAGAGAGAGAGGGAATGAGAGAGCAGAGAGGGTTGGATGCGGAGGACGGCGGAAGAAGATAGGAGAAGAAGAGAGCAGGAAATGGAGTAGGAAGAGGAAGAGAAGAGAAAACGGCGAAAAAGAAGCAAAGAGAGAGAGATCAGGAGGAGGCGAGAGAGAGAGAGAGAGAGAGGCAGAGTGGGGAAAGAAGAAAGGGAGAGGAGGGGGAGGGAGTGGAGGAGGAGAGCAGAGAGAGTGAGGAGAGAGAGAGAGAGGAAAGGAGAGAGAGAAGAGAGAGAAGAGAGAGGGAGGGAGGGAAGAGAGAAAGGGTACGACATATGATGAGACAAAACAGAGAGAATCACAATGGAGAATACACCAGACAAGTCAACTCTTCCAACGCGTCACAGGTCCTGACGCGTTATTCGGCCCCCCCCCGCCCACCCGCGCGCGAGGCCTGGATCCCCGCCCACCCCTCTCTCGCCTCACGGCCTCTCTCGCTCTGTTGCGCCTCTTACTTCTTACTTTGCTTTTATCACGCTCCTTCTACTCATATTTTCCCTCCCTTTTCTTCTTGCCACTCCACCAACCCTTTCCAGACGATGAATCGATTTACCGGTCGGGGTTTCTGGCTCGTGCCCCGGTGGTTCAGGTTCCACATCGCCCCCCTCGCCCCCTCTGCCTCCCCTCTCCCTCACCCCCTCCTCTCCCTCCCCTTCCCCCCTCCCCCCCCTCCCCTCCCCCCACGTCTCCTCCCTCTCCACCCCCTCTCTTCCCTCTTCCCCTTCCCATCCCCCTTCACTTCTTTCTTCCTTAACTCTCTCCTCTCTCCCTCTCTATCCTCCCCTCCCTCCTTCGTCCTCCTCAATCCCTTCCCTCCTCCCCTCTCTCCCCCTCTCCTCTCCTCTTACTCTCTTCCTTTCGCTTCTCCATTCCTCTCCCTTCTCTCCCCTCTTTCTCCCCTCTTTTCTTCACTCCCTCTCCTCCTCTTCCTCCATCTCCATCACACCTCCAACCTACCCCTATCAACCTTCTTTACTCTTCTCCCATCACCCCTCTCTCCCCTTCCCCTCACCCCTCTCCCACTTACTCTATCCTTCACCTCTCTCTTCCTCTCCCCCTTCATCTTCTCTATTTTCTCCCTTTCTCTGCTCTCTCCTCCTCTCTCCCTCTTTTCCCCCTCACATCCCCCTCCCTCTCTCCCTCCTTCTCCCACTCACACACACCCCCTCCCTTCCCCCTCCATTTCCATTCTCACATCCCCCCCTCCTTCTCCCCCTCCCTCTTTCCCTCCATCTACCCCTTCCCATCCTCCTCCATCTCCCCCTCCTTCCCCTCCCTCTCCCCTTCCCATCCCCTCCATCCCCCCTCCCTCTTTCTCCATCTCCCCCTCCCATCCTCCTCCATCTCCTCCTTCCCCTCCCTCTTCCCTCCATCTCCCCTTTCTTCCTCCTCCATCTCCCCTCCTATCCCCTCCCTCTTTCCCCATCTCCCCCTCCTTCTTCCCCTCCCTCTTTCCCTCCATCTCCTCTCCTCCCCTCCTCCCCCCTTTCCTCCATTTCCCTTTCCTATCCCATCTCCCCTCCTTCTTTCCTCCCTCTTTCCCTCCATCTCCTCTTCCTATCCTCCTCCATCTCCCCTCTTTCTTCCCCTCCCTCTTTCCCTCCATCTCCCCCTCCTTCTTCCCATCCACTCCTCTCCCAATCTTCCCCCCCTCCTATCCTTTCATCCTCCCCATCTCCCCCTCCATCTTTCCCTCCATCTCCCCCTTCCTTTCCTCCATCTCCCTCCTTCTTCCCTCCCTCCTTCCCTCCATCTCCCCCTCTATCCTCCTCCCATTTTCCCCCTCCTTCTTCCCCCTCCATCTTTCCCTCCATCTCCCCTTCCTATCCTCCTCCAATTCTCCACCTCCTTCTTTCCCCTCATATTTTCCACCCCCGAAGCAAATAAAAAGGGGGGGATGAGTGGGTGGAGAGACAAGGAGGAGAGCGAGACAAAAGGGAATGTGGAAAGAGGAGAAGAAGAAGACACAGAAGGAAAGAGAAAGGAGAAGAGGAGGAGAAGACGTGGAGAAAGTGTGAAGGGAAAGAAAAGAGAGGAGGAAGATAGAATAAAAGAAAGGAGGAAAAGAAGACGAGAGAAGATAGTGAAGGAGAGAAAGGAGAATGGGGAATGAGGGCGAGAGAAAGAAAGTGAGGGGAAAAAAGTGAGAGAAGTGAGAAAGCAATGGACAAAGAAAAGAGAAGAGGAGGTAAACAGAAGAAGGGGATAAGAAAC